TATGTGATTCAAATCTTTTTCCTTTCAAAACATCATTTACAAAATCCAGAACATATTGTTGTCCCTGATGAAAAAGATAGCCTGAGAATTCATGTCCGCCGCCGCAAAACGTAATCAGTTCAATATCTTTATGGAGATCATTCATATGATTATAAACCGCATAAGAACCAAAAAGAATCAACCAGCCTGAAGCGTTTGTTGGGCAGGAACGATGTGAACCAGCTGCATATGGAACTGTATCATCATTATTTCCGTGTGCTAATAACATTGGAATCGCTTTTTCTTTTGTGATTAAATTGATGTCCTGAATAGCGCCCGAACCACCAATGAAACCTTTGTATTTAAAGTTTTCAGGAAGATTGTTTTTATATAAATTCATGAGTTTATAATCCCAAAACGAGGCATGAAAACCAATTTCGGCACCGGCACTAATTCCTGAAATGAATATTTTTGATGCATCAAGATTGTATTTGTTAGCATTTTCGATCAGGAATGATGTGGCTTGCCACATATCGCTTACACCAATTTGTATTGCTTTTATCTTTTCGGTCAAGGTTCCTTTACAGCCAAAATCCTTTCCTTTCATATATAAACTGTATGAAATGCTGGCAACTGCGTAACCGTTTTTTGCCATAAACATTCCAAAATCTTTTTCACTTGTACGTTCTCCGCCAGAAAATCCACCGCCAAAAGCAAAAATGATCAACGGAATTTTTTCGTTAGTTTTCTTTTTGGGTAAGTATAAATCCAGATCCAGTTTGATGGTATCATTCTGAAAATAAGTCATCGTTTTGATTTCCTGTGCCTGAAGATTGTTGATTATAAGGGCGATAAGTAGTAAAAGGATTTTTTTCATAGTGTTGCGGTTTAATCTCGAAAAGTCGCAGTAGCAAAGTTTTTTAAGATTCTTGTTTTGTGATTTAGCGAGCCAATTTTTGTGTAATACTTTCTCAAATATAAAAGTTCGCCACGAATTTCACGAATTTTCCCTAATCTTTAACTTTATAAAATAGGATTACATGCAATAATTCGTGAAATTAGATTTTGGATGATATTAATTCGTGTAAATTCGTGAAATTCGTGGCGAAAAATAAACAATTATTTTAGTCTGAAAAATCTAAAATCTAAAATCTGAAATCTGAAATCAAAAAACGTATATTTGCCTTCTATTTTAATGTGCAAATGGAGAACGATAAAGAAAAAAACACAGCCGAATTTTACGAAAGATTAAAGGTAGAGTTAGATAACTCAAATACTTGGCCTGCAGAATATTTGTATAAATTTATAGTGCCTTCGGTTGACGATAATGTCGAGCGGGTTGAAAAAGCATTTGATAGTATGGGCGCCGTTATTAAAACAACAAAATCTAAAACAGGTAAATTTACCAGTGTTTCTGTAGATGTTACAATGCATAGTGCTGATCAAGTGATTAGCAAATACAAAGAAGTTTCTACTATAGAAGGTATAGTTTCATTATAAATTATGGTCGAAAAATATAAAAAAGAAGTCGCGAATGACGTTGTTTTTAATTTAGAATACAATTCTGAAAGACAGCGTTTACTTATTCCGGAATATGGTCGTCATTTGCAAAAACTGATCGATCAGGCAACTATTATTGAAGATGATGAAACGCGCAATAAAGCCGCGAAATACATCATTCAGGTTATGGGAAGTCTGAATCCGCATTTGCGTGATGTACCGGATTTTCAGCATAAATTATGGGATCAGCTTTTTATCATGTCTGATTTTAAATTGAATGTAGAATCACCCTATCCAATTCCGTCAAGAGATGTGCTGCAGTTAAAACCGGATGTTTTACACTATCCGCAAAATTTTCCTAAATACAGATTTTATGGTAATAATATCAAATATATGATTGATGTTGCCAATAAATGGGAAGATGGAGAAATGAAAAATGCATTGGTTTTGGTCATTGCCAACCACATGAAAAAATCATACCTGAGCTGGAACAAAGACACAGTAAAAGATGATGTGATTTTCGAGCATTTATTTGAATTGTCAGGAGGAAAAATCAATTTATTACAAAGCACAGAAGAGCTTTTAAATACTACTGATTTATTGCGTACCAACAAACGCATGTCGAACAAAATCACGCCACCGGGACAACCAAAAATCCAAAGCAACAAAAACAATAAAGGTCCGGGAAAACCAAAACCTTTTCAGAAAAATAATCAAAAGTAAAAAAAGGTACTATCCCGATAGCTATCGGGACTAAGATGCTAAGTTGCTAATTTTTTTTAGCTCAGGATCTTAGAATATCAGTAACTCAAAGCCCTAAAAAACAAAAACAAAAATAAAAAGTTGCTAAGCAGCTAAATTACTGAGTTTTTTTACAAAGAGAAAAACTTAGAATCTTAGAACCTTAGTAACTCAGAAACTCTAAAAAAAGAATATGGGAATTTTTAAAATCGAAGGAGGAACTCCTTTAAAAGGAGAAATCACTCCGCAAGGAGCAAAAAATGAGGCATTACAAATTTTATGTGCCGTGCTTCTAACGGGGGATAAAGTAAAAATTAATAATATTCCCGATATTATTGACATCAATAAATTAATCACCTTGTTGGGTAATTTAGGAGTTAAAATTCAACGCAATGAACCGGGTTCGATTACGTTTCAGGCTGATGAAGTTAATGTTGGATATTTAGAAACCGAAGCTTTCAAAAAAGAAGGAGGAGCGCTTCGTGGTTCTATTATGATTGTTGGACCGCTTTTGGCACGTTTCGGAAAAGGATATATTCCTAAACCGGGAGGAGATAAAATTGGCCGTCGCAGATTAGATACGCACTTTGAAGGTTTTATTAACCTTGGAGCAAAATTCAGATACAACAGAGAAGATCACTTTTACGGAGTAGAATCTCCAAAAGAAGGACTTAAAGGAACAGATATGTTGCTTGATGAAGCATCAGTAACAGGAACAGCAAATATCGTTATGGCTGCTGTTTTGGCAAAAGGAACAACCACAGTTTACAACGCAGCTTGTGAGCCTTACTTACAGCAATTGTGTAAAATGTTGAACTCAATGGGAGCTAACATTACAGGTGTAGGATCTAACTTATTGACTATCGAAGGTGTTGAAAGCCTTGGAGGATGTGAGCACACAATCTTGCCTGATATGATCGAAATTGGTTCCTGGATTGGCCTTGCGGCTATGACAAAAAGTGAAATCACGATCAAAAATGTAAGCTGGGAGAATTTAGGTTTGATTCCTAATACTTTCAGAAAACTAGGAATTACAATCGAAAAACGCGGAGATGATATTTACATTCCTGCTCACAAAGACGGGTATGAAGTAAAAACCGATATCGATGGTTCTATTTTAACAATTGCCGATGCACCATGGCCAGGATTTACACCTGACTTGTTGAGTATCGTTTTGGTTGTGGCTACACAAGCAAAAGGCGATGTTTTAATTCACCAGAAAATGTTCGAAAGCCGTTTGTTTTTCGTGGATAAATTAATCGATATGGGAGCAAAAATTATGTTATGTGATCCGCACAGAGCGGTGGTTATGGGGCATAATTTCGAATCTCAGCTAAAAGCAACAACAATGTCATCTCCTGATATTCGTGCGGGGATTTCATTATTAATTGCAGCTTTATCGGCAAAAGGAACAAGCACAATTCAAAATATCGAACAAATCGATCGTGGATACGAGCGTATCGACGAGCGTTTAAGAGCAATTGGAGCTAAAATCGTGAGAGCGTAATAAGAGTTAGCCACGAATTACACGAATTACACTAATTTTTAATTTTTGAAATTCAATGGCGAAAAAAATAGTCTCAAATGACAGATGAACAAAAAGCTGTAAAAGCTACTATATTTAGTATAGTTGGAAACACCTGCTTAGCCTTGGTAAAAGGCCTAGCAGGTTTTTTTGGCAATTCTTATGCCTTAATTGCAGATGCGATCGAGTCTACTGCCGATATATTTTCGTCTTGTCTGGTGTTATTCGGAATCAAATATTCCAATAAACCTGCAGACGAAAACCATCCTTATGGTCACGGTAGGGCAGAACCTTTAATAACCTTTTTGGTTGTTGGTTTTTTAATCACCTCGGCAACCATTATTGGGTACGAAAGTATTGCCAATATCCAGACTCCACACGGATTACCAAAATCATGGACATTGTATGTTCTGGGTGTAATTATTGTCTGGAAAGAATATTCATATCGTTTGGTAATGAAGCGTAGCAAAGAAACCAATAGCTCTTCGTTAGCCGCCGACGCATGGCACCATCGTAGTGATGCTATTACATCAGTAGCAGCGTTTATTGGTATTTCGATTGCGCTAATTATGGGAAAAGGGTATGAATCAGCAGATGATTGGGCGGCGCTTTTTGCTGCTTTTTTTATCTTATATAACAGCTATAAAATTTTCAGACCTGCGCTTGGGGAAATTATGGATGAAAATCTGAACGATGATTTAGTCGAAGAAATCAGAATCGAATCCCTAAAAGTGGTCGGTATCCTTGGAACCGAAAAATGTTTCATCCGTAAAGCCGGAATGAAATATCATGTCGATCTTCATGCTATTGTATCGGCAAAAATTTCGGTAAAAGAAGGCCACGATTTATCACATAAACTACAAGATACCCTAAAAGAAAGAATTCCTGAATTGGGTAATGTCCTGATTCATATCGAACCGGATGATTATCATTAAAAAAAGGTTCAAAGTGGCAAAGGTTCA